AACCTTCGTCTAATCTCAAGTCTAAACTTCCTACTAGCCAGCTTATATCCATTTGTTCTTGTGTCCACATTGGTATTAAGCTTAAATAATTCCTCTCCCTCCCTGGTATTTATCCCTCTAATATATTTAAAAAGTGCAATCATGCCCCCCCTCAGCCTTCTTTGGGTTAAAGTAAACAAGCCAAGCTCCTTGAGTCTCCTTTCATAAGACAGGTTTTCCATTCCTCGGATCATCCTAGTGGCCCTTCTTTGTACCTGTTCCAGTTTGAATTCATCCTTCTTAAACATGGGAGACCAGAACTGCACACAGTATTCCAAATGGGGTCTCACCAATGCCTTGTATAATGACACTAACACCTCCTTATCTCTACTGGAAATACCTCGCCTAATACATCCCAAGACCGTATTAGCCTTTTCACGGCCATGTACAATGGCGGCTCATAGTCATCCTATAATCAACCAGGACTCCAAGGTCCTTCTCCTCCTCAAAAAAATGAACACATATGAAAAGGACAAATCAAATTTCAGAACAGAAGGAGGGTTATTGGGGGGGGAGAGGTAAATGTCTAATGATATTAGAGGTGATAATTGGGGAAGCTATCTTTGTAATGGGTAAGATAATTAGAGTCTTTATTCAAACTTAAGTGTAAAGTGTCAAATTTAAGCAGGAGTGACAGTTCAGAGGATTCTCTTTCAAGTGTAGTCTTGAAAGGCCTTTGAAGCAGGAAGCAGGTAATCAAGTCGTTGAGACAATGTCCTTGCTGGTTGAAATGGCAAGAAATTGTTTTTTCTTTGTGATCCTGTCTAATATCTGTTTTGTGGACATTGATCCTTTGGCAAAGTGTCTGAGACGTTTGTCCAGTGTACATAGCAGACGTACACTTTCGGCACATGATAGCATAAATTATATTTCTGGATGCGCAGGAATATGTGTTCTTGATCTTATAACTCACTTGGTTAGGTCCAATGATGGTATCAGCAGAGTGAATATGTGGACAAAGCTGGCAACGGGGTTTGTTGCAAGGGAAGGTGCCAGGGTTGGTATTAGTGTGGTATGTTCTGTGGTTGTTGGTAAGAATCATCTTGAGGTTAGGTGGTTGTCTATAGGAGCTACACCAGACTAACACGGCTACATTTCTATCACTATTTTTTTAAGTGACTCTGCTTCTATATGATCTATTGGCTGCTGTTTCCATCCTACCGGTCCAGGGAATATGTGAGATAAATGCCAAAGTACTCTCACATTTCCTAGCTACAGTCCCATGTGAAATCACAGCTGAACTCAGTTGCAACAATAGGACACATCAAGCCAAACTGTCGTCAACCTGGGAACACCTTGTACCACCAGCTTCATGGCAGATTTTGCACTGAAATGCACTGTGTTCTTATCAGTGCTCTGGCCTGCTTTACACACAGTGACATGATATATTCAGATCTCCATCTTTTCTAAGTGTGTTTAATGCTGTGTCCCGTCTGATGCAAAAAGATGAATAGTAAAGTATTACTAATTTACAAAACTAATAGCTAGAGTCTTAGCTTGGTATAGGTCCACTGAAGTCAGTGGAGCTATATCGCTTTATAGTAGGTTGTGGTAAAAGCTATGTGGAGTTTCTCTGTACATTTAAAACTGAAAACATCAGCTTGACATTTAGTCAGTGTTTTTAAAATAGCATATAGTATTAGGTACTACTCTGTCCTAGAGGCCTCCTGACAACTCAAGTAGTTTTGCAGCCACATTTTTCCTACTTGGTGTAAATTATTTTCATTCCCTTCTTGCTGGACAGAAGTTCCAAACAAACAATGGGGGATTTGATCCAATGAGATTGCAAACATGAACAATTAAGTATATGCATAATTGATTGCAGAATTAGAGCCCAATAGTACAGGAGAAACTGTGAAACTGGCACAAAGCAGTGATGTTGAAACAATGTTTATAGTGGGGGGTGCTAACTGACAGAAATAATTTATTTGATATTTGTTATTATTAATTTAAGACAGAGGGTACAGGAGCACACCTACTTCCAGCACAACTGCAAGGTACTTTCAGGTGTACACAGTAAACAAATTCTTGAAACTGATATTTCTTCCCCCAGCCTGCTGTTGTAATTTTATGCTACTTGAAACACTAACTGGTTTAAAAACAAATCCCAAAACCCCTGACTGACAGGAAACTTTTATGGTCACAACGTCCTTTAACTCTTTCAAGCAACTGATTTTTTTAAAAAAACCTAGCCTAATGTACAACTGTCAATAAAGGCAAATACCATCATGTCCTATTCAAGAAAATTATAACAAACACTTGTGATTAAAAGTTTCTTAATGAAAATGGGGGCATAATTGGATTTTAACAATTGATTCTGTGGGCTTTATGCAAATGAATTCGTGATTTCTAATTATCTATCTATTAGTCCTTTGGGCTCCTAATGGAGCATAGGGCCTCCACAGTCATTCTCCATCTCTTGTGATCCTTAGCAATAGTTTTGATTTGATCCCATGTTAATCCAGCTGCTTTTACTTCATCCAGGCAGCTTTGTCGCCATGTTTGTTTGGGACGTCCCCTCTTCCTCTTACCCTTTGGATTCCATTCTAACGCTTGTCTCATGATACATTCCTCATAGTCCTTACGCAGGATATGGCCTGCCCATTGCCATTTTCTTTTCTTAATCTGGACCTCCATTGGTTTCTGATTTGTTTTGGTCCACAAGGTTTCATTTGGCATTCTATCATACCAGTTTAGCTGGACAATGTGTCTAAGGCATTTATTGACAAATGTCTGAATTCTCTTAGTGTTGCTCTGGACAACGCACCCCACCTCCGAGCCATACAGCAGCACTGATTTCACATTGGAAGTGAAAATACGTAGTCTGGTTCTTGTTGAAATGGCTCTTGTACCCCGGACTGATCGTAGTATGGCAAAAGCTTGTTGCGTCTTTCTTATTCTTGAACTGATGTCCTCTTCAGTTCCCCCATTCTTGCTGATAACACTCCCCAAGCATACCTCTTGCATTGCTTTTCCTTCAGTTGTAATTTCACCTTCCTGTCTGTTGTTAATGCGTATCAACTTGGTCTTTTCTTGACTATTCTTGAGGTCCACTCACTCAGCTGTTTCCTGTAGGGCATCTGTCTTCTCTTGCATATGCTCTAATTTGTCTGCAAGCAGGGCTAAGTCATCTGCAAACTCTAGATCAGTGGTTCCCAAACTTTTTGGCATCACAGCCTCTTTTTGATTTTTGAAAAACCCTCACACCTGCCCACCCTCCCCAAAATAGCAGTGAAAAAAAAAAGTAACTGACCCCAGTTTGGGAACCCCTGCTCTAGATCTTCAAGTTTCCTAGTTTGAGTCCATTGGAGTCCCCTTCCTGAGACAGCATATGCTGTTTTTGTTACCCAGTCTAGGATAATCAGGAAGAGTAATGGAGAGAGAAGGCAGCCTTGATGTACACCTGCTGTGACCTGGAATTTTTCCAACAATTTTCCATCGTGGATGACCTGGCAAGAGTATTCTTCATACAGTTTCTTGATGATGGTAATCAGTTTGCCTGGAACTCCGTAACGTTGCATGATGATCCAAATGGACCATCTTTCATCCGTTCCAGGGTGACTCTGGTTGGTACTTTGCTTGGTATGGACAGGAAAGTAATCCCCCTCCACTTTTCACCCAGTGACAGATCACCGGATTTAGGGAGTGTCACTAGCAGCCCTTTTCTCTAATCCTTTGGAATCTCTTCTGTTGTCCATATTAGATTTACCTGGTCCACTATAGCAGCTCCACCTTCTTTTAGTACTTCAGGTGGAATATTATCAGGTCCTGCTGCCTTGCCATTCTTTAGGTTCCTTATTGCCTTGCAGACTTCTTCTTTTGTAATTGCCCAAGTGTTGATGTCTAGGGGTTCTCCTAATTTTAGCTTTAGTGGATTTGATGGTGGTGGTCTGTTTAACACTTCTTCAAAATGCTCCTTCTATCTGGCTAGCTGCTTATCCACTGAGGTAAGTAGCTGACCATCTTTAGTTTTGACCGGTCTGTTTGGATTTCATTTCCTTCCACTCAAGACTCGAGTTGTATTGTACAGGGTTTTCAAGATTTCTAATTACTGACACTTAAAAAAAAGTTTTAATAATCTAGGCCCACATTCTGAAAATAGTTACATGTACTTAATTCATGTGCATTGTTCTACTGACTTTAGTGCTACCGTAAAGCTAAATGTGTGTAATTTATTTGCAGGTTCATAATGGTTTGTGAAATTTTCTCTGTCACTTTTCTCTGCATTTCTGTCTATCACTTGCCTCATAAGTGGCTTCCTTCCTCCACATTCTTTTTGAAAACAGGAAATAATTTATTTTAGGTTAGTGTTTACACAGCATTCAATTCTATGAGGCCTGTGTCTAATGGGGTCCATGAATGAGAAGTAAATATGAAATAGTGCTATTGTGGAAAGCAATGCTAAGACTGTCCAGCAGATAAAATTATTCATGTTTGTTTGGGGCATTACTTTTGTGCTGAAGAAATAAGACAAGAAGAACACTTTATTTTGCAGAATTTACATTAAAATACTTGCAGAGCAAAAAGAGACTCCTCAGAAGACAGAGTAGACTCAGGAGAAACTCACAAGGATGCTGTTTAACTAGATAATTCTAAAAATAAAATCATGTTTTCATTTTAAATGTACCAAGAACATACTGCTCTCCTGGGGACTAAAATAACACCAGGCAATGTAATGCCAGGCTGTAGATGAAACACATGCCAACCAGTAAGTGGCTCTAAATTTTGTTGTGAGACTCTAGATTTTTTGTTAACTGAACACAAGATTTTTTGCTTTGATGCAAGCAAAGTGTACACAATTCCTGCTTATTCAATAGATATTTGAGCTCTTGGAAGATTTTTACTTCACTAACAAATTTTTTTTGTTGCCAGAGATAGATTCCAACACATACCTAAGAAAATCCTTGTTTGTGCCCTTTGCCATTTGCTATTTCCCTAATAAAGTTCTCCTTTTTTTGCAGGTGGCTTCTGACCTTTATTAGAAATCTGCTCATCAGTCTGCTGTGCTGGATTCGTAGAACAACATGGCTTCTCACCATTGTTAGAAAACAGAAACTTAAAAATGAGCAGTGTTTGCTCTAATTCAAGTATTAGCCAACAACAGGTAACAAATACAATACCAGTTTAAATAATAAGTGCAGACTTCATTTTGAGGTGTGATAATAGATTCTGTGTCTTTATTGGGATAACAACTCTGTTATTGGAATAGCAATTCTTTAGTCAGACAACATTTGAATGTGCTTTGAGAATGTAAAGTGTTATACCAGTGGTGCTCCACCTTTTTTCATTCGCAGTCCCCAGAGCCGGGAACATTTTTGTTGAGCCAAAAAAAAAAACCTGCCAGGAACATTTTGTTGCGGCCCCTTTCATTTACAGCACTGGTCCGCTCCCCTGCCACTCCTCCCACCCCCCAATGCATGTATATTGGGCGCCTAGCCAGGAAAAGAAAATACCAGCTGGCCCGCATCAAAGCACTGCGACACCCCCTGCCCCTCCAGGAAGACCGCTGTGCTATACAGTGGTTAAATTCACAGAAGATTGCTCCTGAGCAACCTGGCTAAGTTCCTGTTGATTTTACTGGGTCCAGGATCAGATCTCTATAGGCTCATGTAGTCTTCACACACATGAATCATAGCGTGCGTCTAGACTACAGGGTTTTGTCGACAAATAGGATTTTTGTCGACAAAACTATACCTGCGTCTACAGTCCCGCCAAGTTCTGTCGACAGTAAGTCAAGGGGACGCACCAGTTTTGTCAATGGCGGTAAACCTCATTCTATGAGGAATAACACCTTTTGTCAACAGAGTTCTGTTGACAAAAGGCGCTATTGCACTCTCTGTGCTTTTTCAAAAGAGAGCATCTAGCCTCTCTGTTGAAAAAGTGACTTGATTTGTCGACAGAACTGGCTGTAGTCTAGACATTAACAAGATGGTTTATTAGGTGATGAACTTTTGTGGGCCAGACCCACTTCCTCAGATTAAATTGTGGAAGAAAATTGGCATGACCATATATACCAAAGGGATACAATAAAAAAAGTGAACACATATAAAATAGACAAATCAGAGTTTAGAACAGAAGGGGGATAAAGGGGGGAGGTTAATGTCTTTGAGCTAATGATATTAGAGGTGATAATTGGGGAAGCTGTCTTGTAATGGGTAAGATAATTAGCATCTTTGTTGAGACCCAGTCGTAAAGTGTCAAATTTAAGCATGGATGACAATTCAGAGGTTTCTCTTTGAAGTCTTGTGTTAAAATGTCTTTGAAGCAGGATGCAGGTAGTCAAGTCATTGAGACAATGCCCTTTCAGGTTGAAATGACAAGAAATTGTTTTTTCTTTGTGACACTGTCTGATATCTGTTTTGTGTGCATTGATTCTTTGGCAAAGTGTCTGAGACATTTGTCCAACATACATAGCAGACAGACACTATCAGCACATGATAGCATATGTTATATTTCTGGATGAGCAGGAATACATGTTCTTGATCTTATAACTGAATTGGTTACGTACAGATAGTTCGGATTAGAAGCCTAATCCGAACTATCTAGTCCGTGCCGCGTGTAGCCGCGCGGCACGGGGTTCGCACTAGCCGGCTTTTAAAAATGGCGGCGCCGGCTTTATGCTAATGAAGCCCGGGAAATTCAAATCCCGGGCTTCATTAGCAAGTTCGGTATGCATACATTACCCCCCTAGTTCGAACTAAGGGGGTAGTGTAGACATACCCTAGGAGACTATGGGTCTGTCTCCCAGAGCCTCTTGAAGTGTAGTATCCTGATCCAGAATAGGTTGTAGTTTATTGATAATGTATTGGACAAATTTGAGTTGGGGACTGTAGGTGATCTATTGTTGGTTTACTTGGGTCTTTCTTGAAGTAGATGGTTTCTGGGTATTCGTCTGGCTCTTTCAATTTGTTTTTTTATTTCTCCAGGTGGGTAATCGAGGTCTCTGTCAGTGGGATTAGAGCTGATGCGGTTGTATCGAAGGGTTTGGCTGTAGACGATGGATCGTATAGTGTGTTCTGGTTGGGAGCTGGAGGCATGTAGATAACTATATGAGTCAGTAGGTTTTCTGTAGAGAGTGGTATCTAATTTACCATTGGTGATTTGTACTGTGGTGTCCAGGAAATGGATCTTTCATGTAGAATGGTCCAGGCTGAGATTGATGGTGGGGTGTAGGTTGTTAAAGTCTCTGTGGAATGCATCTGGTGTTTCTTTGCCATGGGTCCAGATCATAAAGATATCATTGATGTAGCGTAAGTAGAGAAGGGGTAAAAGGGGATGGGATCTGTAGATGAAGTTTGTACCCTATAATTAACGCTTCTAACTTTATGTTTTCATTGATAAACACCTATAAAACACCCCAATTTAAAAACAAAACAGTGTCTGTCTAATGGTTAGTTGCATCTAAGGGCTTGTCTATGTACAGCAGTAATTCTGGCTTTGGGGGCAAGTTTTCTAAAATGTGCCAGTGTGTTCCACGCTAATTGGTCTATGTAGACTTTGCTGGTGTGCACTACAGGTTCCCTAATGTGCAGGGTGCCTTGACCCTGGATTTGCTGGTGAGGTCATCTCAGACATTAAATAGCTATTAAAAAAAAAAGCAGAGTGGGGATTTTGAAATAATACTGCAATACAGTGCACTAAGAAACAGTAAAAAGAGAATACTCATAATATATGCTACGCAATGAGTAGTACAAGTCATAACTACACTCATTACAGTAAACCCTGAGCCCCTGTCCTGTTTTTGGTCATTTACATACAACTCAAATATAGCTAAAAATAAACCCTGAACAATAAAATCAGCACATCCTGAAGAACAGAAACCCTGCCTGTGGCTTTGGGTCAGAAAAATTACTTCTGCTCCAGTCCCAAGTAACAGACAATGTGCATATAGTTGCTAGTCCCCCACCAACTCCTGTGAACTTCTGGAGTGGGACATTATCCCCCTGTGTTGGTTTGCACTATGGCCAGATGACTCTTCTCATATTAGAAACAGTCAGAGACCAGCATGTAGGCTGCAGGGAGTCAGTGCCCAGCTCCAGCTGTTTTTTGTTCTTTGCCTCCACCACATCACTTGAGCCCTCTCTTTAGAGCTGTCGTATTCCTAGGGGCAGTTCTATACAAAAAAAAGTTAAGTTGGCCCATTTTTGTCATTCAGGGGTGTGAAAGACATACACCGTGAGCAACAGAGTTAAGCCGACCTAATCCAGTATAGACAGCAACAAGTCAATGGACAAATTCTCTAACGACCTAGTTACCACTTCTTGGGGAGTAGTTAAACTAATGTGATAAGAGAATCCCTCCCATTGCAGTAGTGAGCGGCTACGTTGAAGTGCTACAGTGGCACAGCTAAGTGTAGACATAGCTTGAGCAACACACCTGAGGGTACTGGCATGTACAGTGCTGGCAACCATGCAGGGGCAGATAAGAGTGCCGCGGAGCCCAGGACAGTGCCGCGGGACCCCGGGCAGCGAAATTTCGCGCCCCCCCCCCTTTGACACAGCGCATGCGTCGTGGCGCCATGGCACATGCGCGGGACCTTGGGAAGCGCGGGGCCCAGGGCAGCCGCCCCGCTCATCCTGCCCTAAATCCGCCACTGCAACCATGTTCTGGTGACCTTCAATGCTCATATATATCCAGGCAACACACAGGCTTTAGGTGCTTTTAGACTGCCAGCAAATTTCCCTTTACAACTGTCCTATTGTGCTCCATTGGGTTTTGAACAGAGGATGAAACATGAACCGCCCTCTGCTTTTCTGCTGTTGATTTGCTGCTTCTACATCATGGCACTCTAGCAACAGGTCTTTCTCCAACCAGCTCAAACTCTCTTCCACACAGCTGCTCAAATTGTTGCCCCTTTCTTGCTGAAGATGAGTGTTCTGCATTTCTTGGAGTTCACTGTTTCTTCTCCTTTTTCAGACATTCTGTGTTATTCTCAGCATTATATCAAACCAAGAGCATTTTGAGAGTAAAAAAAATTGTTAAAAACCGAAACACTAATGTAGACTTTGTGGCTCCAGCCAGCTGTTTAATGCCACTATGTTTTGGGACTGCAACATGTCACTTCCAAAGTTGCAGAAGTTTCATGTATGCTCACTGAGCTTTCAGTGCTGCTATCTTAATGCTCACATGATGATTATAAAATTTGTGTTGTCAACTGTGTTCTTTAAATAATCTTTGTTATTGAAACAGTAGTTTCTGATCACAGGCAAGACCAGCAGCAGATTCAGACAGGGAACCTTGACCCTGGATTTACTGGTGAAGTTGTCTCAGACATTACATTTTAAAAAATAGCAAAGTGGGGTTTTCACCCAAGCTGGCATGAAAGTTACTGTTTTTATCATCTGCCTTTGGAGAAAGAAAAACAGGGAATCGGGGTTAAGGAAGGTCTCTCATATAACTCAAGGAGCATGTGGCTTGGTTAATATTGAGCTTACTGAGTTTGATGTTAGTGGCTTTAAATCAGGCCTTTAGATGGACTGAGAAGTCAGAAAAAAATTCCTAACCCCTACACCTTTTGACTAGTTATTTCTTGCCTTCTTTTTTCAGGCCCAGCATCCTGCCCTGTGTTAATCACCTCGTTCTGATGCACCATACATTATGGTTTACATCAATATAGTGAAAAAATTAATATGTGTACTCTTGTTGGTCGTTGTGGTTCTGACTATTTGTTTGTGGAAAGAAACAAGAAAAGGCTACTACATTCCCTTCAAAACACAAAGCAAAAGTATTCATATTGCCAGAACTCTGGGAACATGGGACATACTTGCATCTGGAGTCCTTTCAAACAAAGCTGTCAATGAGAAGAGCCAGGTATCTGGTGCTTTGATGGGCAAACTGGATAAAGCAAAGGACTACATCTCTCCAACTGCTCCAGGAAACAATGCAGTGGCAAAGTTAAAGAAATCAGTGGGCAATATGAATGTCTGGAATGAAAACAGTTCATCAAAGAATCTTATACCTAGACTGCAAAAGGTTAGACACAATTACCTGTCCATGAACAAGTACAATGTTACTTACGCTGGGCCAAAGAATACTGCCAGACCCATTCCGAAGAAACTGCTGTGCCAGCTTCGGGACAGGGTGAATGTGACGATGATCCATGGGTCAGATGGTCCGTTCAGTACCTCTGAATGGCAGAAGTATCTGCCAAGAAAAAACTTCAGCCAGGAAGTTGGCCACTTGGGTCAATGCGCTGTTGTGTCCTCAGCAGGATCTCTGAAGAACTCACGCCTGGGGCCAGAGATAGGTTTGTATTACTTTGTTAGGGTAAAACTACAGCATCTTATGGGACTAGAACTGTGGTCACCAGCCCATCGATCGCAATCGACTGGTTGATCCTGGGGGCTCGACCAGTCAATTACAAGGCTTTCGGGCCCCTCTCCTTGCTACTCCCACCCCCAAGATGATCCCTGAGCTGATGCTACCTCCAGGGACAACGGAGGTAGTGTGGGCTTCCTGCGGGGTGGAAAGGAGTTCAGCAGCTGTGTGCTAAGTCCCAGAAGTGTACGGGCTGCTCTCCCTTCCCTCCCCCCACAACAGTCGGCGCAGTATCTAAAATTCCGGTCCATTGCACACTGGGGACTTCTTTCCCCTGCTGCCTTCCTGTGTATGTGGGAGGGAGTGGGAATCCAGAACCTGCACCAGCTCCAACTGCTCAGGCAGCACGCGTGTGGGGAGCAGAGGAGCAAGGCATGCACTGCCTGAGCAGTGGGAGCTGGCACGGTCCAGGACTCCCGATTTCCCCCTCTCCCTATGCAGGAAGGCAGCTGGGGAAGAAAGTCCTCAGCACGCCAGCTCCAATTGCTCAGGCAGTGCTTGCTGTCGTGGGGAGCGGAGGAGCAAGGTGCGTGCCGCCTGAGCAGTTGGAGCTGGTGCGGTCCAGGACTCCCCCTCCTTGCTCCCATCACACAGAAATGTAGCAGGGGAAAAAAGTCCTCAGTGCGTGACTGACCAGCGTTTCAGGTACTGTGCCGCTGTTTGGGGGCTGGGGTAGCACCCCACGCACTTCCTGGGCCTTGGCGTGCAGCTGCAGGATTCCCAGGTACCAGTCTCTATCCTCTTCCCTCACCCAGACCCCCACAAGTATCCTGTCCCCTACCCCAGCATCCACCTGCACTCTGCCCTGGCACCCATTGGCACCTTGCCCCAGCACCCTGTTCCCCCCCCCCAGCACCCTATCCCTTTCCCCAGCACCCTGCCCCAGCACCCATTGGCACCCTGTACCAGCACCCTATCCCTTGGCACCCTGTCCCCTGCCCCTACCAGTACAGTTGGGGCCACATTAGTGAGGCTTGCGGGGTTTGGAGGGTATGTGTTTTTGTATCTCACTTGTGTGGCCTCGACTGACTTTTCTGTGGGTCAGTGACTCCTGACTCAAAACAGGTTCCCCGCCCCTCTCATAAATAAAGACAATGCTGAAACGTTTTGGGTTTGACATAATATTTTATTTAAAAATGAAGCCTCGCCAACAAGCCCCCAACTGGTGCCAAGCCCTCATCTGGCCACAGCATCATAACACCCTGACCCCAAATCTGAGCCTATCATGCACTGGAACCCCCTGTCCTGTGCCTCTCTCATCCCCAAACTCCTGTACCCCCACATCCTCAGTCTTCTGCCACAGCACTCTTGCACCAGTCACACACTGCAAATCTGTGTCCTGAGCCTCCCTGCCCTGAGACCCTCACACATCCCAATACAAATTCCTGAACCCTCACATCCACAAGCCTGTGGCTTGCTCAGCACCCCAATCCTCCACCTGAGCCCAACACTCCCCAGCCTGGAGCCTCCTCCCTGAGCCAGCATCCCTTCTCCACATCCTCCTATATCCAAATTCCCTCCCAGAGCTTGTACCTTTCACCCTTTCCCAAACTCAAATCCCTCATTACCACCCCAGAGCCCACACCTCCTGTCTCAACCCAGTGAGGGTACAGCTAGACTACAGGAGTTTTTCCAGCAAACACACTCTTTTAGCAGCCCATGTATTCCTTGTTCCACGAGGAATAAGGGGGTTTCCAAAAGAAGGCCAAATATCAGAAAAATCTCTTCCAACAGAAGGATCGAAAAAAAGGGCCAGTGTAGCCATATCCTCATCAGAAAAATCTCCCAGGAATAGTAAGTGATTGAGAGAAGGGGAACAGAGAGGGTGGGGCCTCAAGGAAGGGTAGGGTCTTGGGAAAGGGATGGGGTAGATCTTGGCTTGTCCTGACATTTAAAGTGATCTTGGGCGTAAAACGGTTGGAGACCACTGGACTAGAATAATCTACCATCGCACTTGGGGCAGATTTACCTATTGGACTTTCTCCGCTTAAAATTAATCTGAAAATTCACAAAGACACTTGTAGCAGCTTGAAATATTCAGTTAAGATTCTTACTGAATATAATTGCATGTGGTGAGGAGTGGAAATAATGAGCCGGAACCCTTAGTGCCCATTTTACAAACTTAAAATGTGTACATTGACCCTGACCATTTGAAAACACAATAGGTTTAACTGAGCTAAGTGTGGGCCAGGATTTAGCTCAAGATCCATTCTGTTTTCTGTACCCATACACTGTGCTGGAGACTGTCTCCCTCCCTGCCCCACATCCCCT